AGGACCAGCCCTGTGGTCAGTGGGATGTGCCTGGGGCAGGACCGGCCCTGTGGTAAGTGGAAGGTGTCAGGACCAGCCCTGTGGATAGTGGGATGTGTCCGGGCAGAGCTGCTCTCTCTCTCACACACACACAGAGTAAGTGACAATCCCTGCAAGTCCCAGCGCAGCAAGAGGCTCCGCACGGACCCTCGGAACAAGCCCTCTGCACTGTCCGTGTCCAGCTGTCAGTCACGCTCCGCACACGCCAGCACCTTCACGCACACACCTCGTACGCAGGAATGTATTCGAGTCATGCAGAGAGCCCAAGGAGATTTCTGTCGCCGCAAAGACATTGACTACAAGCACCGAACTAGCGTCCAGTTGTTAATAGCGAGAGCACTGCCCTGGAGACCCCTCGTGCGTGCGCGCGCGCGCGTGCGCGCCCTCCCTGACACAAATACCCAAGCCAAAGGCACACAATAGAGCCCGTCGGCAGCGATCAGCGACAGAAATCTTCCCAGATACAAGATGCACTCATGGAGGAAATTATAAATGTTAAATAATAAAGAGAAAGATGGTACATTAGCGTTGATTCGTTCTTGTTGGCTTTTGCTTTGTATTTTTACCTTCCACAGTTGCAATGACAGACGCGATCCTCCCCTCTTAAATGCGGTAAGATATAATTGTGAAAACGGTCCAGTAGTGCATTCATGTCCATTAAGCACGCTATTGCCTGTAAGAGCCGACAACCAAGGCATCGGGTCAACTCTGGATGGTGGAATAAAACAGTGACTCTAGTAATAAGTGCTAGATAATCTGGGGGGCACTTAAAAAAAACTGTCTCAAAAATGATATTAAAAGAGAAACACTTCAGTCCCTTTTACACGTTTACTGCATGCAATCTTGCAACGGTTATGCCGTGTTGCAGTTTTTGCCGTCTCAAAAAAGAAAGTGTTCACATATTGCATTTACTTACAAACAACTGCAATGAGGTGATCGGAAAAGAATCCTCTTACCATAACAATAGAAGCCCCAAGAATCATAAAGATCATGGTGTTACAGCTCACATGCATCAAAACTCCCAAACCGACTGTCTCTCGCTCCCCCTCTCCTACTCAGCGGATCCGGCAATACGTGGAGAAGAAAGTCTGCGGAAAGGAGCGACATTCATGGAGGCTCCGATACCGTCTCCTACAGAATCTCCCTCCCAGCCCCCCTGGGCTCGCAGGCTCGGGGAACGCTCCTGGGCGACATAAAGTTTGGGTCCCCGCTGCCTCTCTCCGTCCCCTCCGGGGTCTGATGCGGCGGTTCGCGCTTCCTGCAGGCTTGGCTCCCGACAGAGCAGAAATCCCTGTGTCTCTGTTACTGCTGTGATTCTTATTTACTCTATCGCACCCAGGCACCATTCAGAAGAGACCAGCGCAGGACAGCCGAGTCGCCCGCAGCAGAGAGCGCCGAAGGGTTTATTTATTGTCCTGTAAATGCGTGTTCGAGCTCCGCTCCTGTGTCCCGGGGTCCTGCGGCGGAGACCACATTGATTCCCGAGCCCGAGCGACGGGAGGCGGGGAAGGATTCGTTCTTCCTCAGCCCCCTCGATCTTAGGCAGCGGCGGCAGCACCGACAGAGAGAGAGAGAAAATCTCACAGTCCCATCGTCTTCCATCAGTGAGGAGAAAACATCTTCCTTGTCATCTCTGTAGATTTCATGATAACCGCCCGAAACCCCGCGTGTGACGCCCGAAACGGTGGATTTCTTCTTTTAAGGGTAAAAAACACACAAACGAACGCGGTCACCCCCTCCTCTAAGATAAACGTGATCCGGTGAGCCGAGCTCTCTCTCCCCTCTCCCCCTCTTCCTCCCTGTGTGACATTGCAGCTCACATCAGTATTCTGCACCAGTCTGCTGGGCTGGGCTGCGCTCCGTGCGTGCGGACGGGCGCCTCCTCGCTCACAGGGAGAGGAGCCGGGCAGCGCTGCTGGGGAGCCCGCCGCCCCCCGACAAGCAAGCCTGGCACCGTCCCCAGTGGCAGCCCGGTACTCACCAGCCCGGACCCCCTCGCCGCGCAAACACCCCCTAGCAAGCCGGCCTCTTCCCCTGCAGAAAACAGGCGCTTCTCGGCCCCTGATTAAAACCCATTCCCCCAGGAAAGGTTACAGCCCAGCCCGCTCGCCTGGCTGTCTAACACTGCTAGCAACACAGCGGGCATGAGTGGGTCACGACTTATTGCTGCGCAGGGGGAGGCCGGGTCTGTGCAGCGGACTGGACTGGGCTCGGTGACCTGGAGTCACCCCTGGTTCCGGCAGCGCCGCCCTGGTGTCCAGACCGGCCACTCGCCCCGGCCTCAACACAAGCCACCGCCTCATTCGTTGCTCTCATTACACTTCGGGGCTGTTAAATAAGAACAACGCTGCATCGGTGTAACTGTAGGACAGGGACCACAACAACATCACAAACCCCAGCCCTACGTTCGTGCCCCCCGCCGGACGGGCCGGGTCAGGGTCGGTACCGGGCTGGGACAGCCGCGCTCCGGCGCGCTTGGGACACATTAACAAGAAAATGTGTCCCAAGCACAGCCGGCCGCTGACTTTTCTCGATAAGACATCGCCGATGGAAGCTTACACGGATTCAGTCTGACCAACCCGAGGACATTGAGGGGAAGCGCATTTAAATCCGGGAACAGGAGGCACGTCTTTACACCAAGGGTGGTGGGAGTGCGGAACAAGCTGCCCAGCCCTGTAGCTGCAGCCGGTTCCCGGTTTCCATCAGACAGCGGCCGGCTGAGGTCGTGGGTCAGTGAGCTTTTCACAGACTGAAGACCGGGCCTTATTATTAATTATGATTATTAGGCAGAAGGTGTGTCGTGACGGACATTCTGTAGGAATACTCTGTAGGGTTGCAGAACCCCGCAACAGGGACATTTAATCTTTTTCTTCGTTTTGAAAGCGAGATTTTACTCGAGATTAAACCACCTTTGACAGAATCTCGCTCTTCCAAACGGATGTGATTCCGGTCTGTCTTAGCCATGCTTCCTAAGCGCTTTTAGAAGCCACCTTTAAAGGTGCTATATAAAATAAAGATTACTATTAACCGGTTTATCTCGCCTTCTGTGGAAATACAGGAGCATTTGAAACAAGTGAATAAATAACCCTACCTTCTTGAAAGCAGCGATACGGAGACACTTACTGCCGTTAATCGCCCTGAGCGGGAACACCGGAGACTCGAGGCCGAACTGACCGTTAATTTCAAACTCGACCGCTCCGAACGCGCGAGCCGACTCTACCCTCACCTCACGTGACAGCCTCGACGTCACGGCGCCCCCGGCGTGGGCGGGGCCAGTCGCTGCTGTCCGGTCCTGTGGCGTCACGACCCGTGCTGCCGCACTGACCGGGTGCGGCTGAAGCCGCGACCCCCAGGGCATGAGAAGGCTGTGCAGGAAGAGCTTACTCTGCTGAGGCTTCCCTCCTCTCCCAGGGCTGTGCGCTCCTGTCCCAGCTCTGTCCACTGCCCTCCCTAGCTCAGGCCACAGTCTGGCAGTCAAGGCGATTAGCTCGATAAGCAAACGAACAGAGTGAAATGAAACTCGGTGGGCCTGGAGGAGCAGAGCTGCTGCCCCAGTCCTGTACCCGAGGTGTACCCCTCAACCTCCTCTCCACTGAAGACACTGGGGTCCCCTGCCTGCATCGGGACACATTACAGCGGAGCCCAGCAAGCACCGTGTCGGCACAGCGGAGATTCACGTCCCGGGTCCCAGCCGATACTGCTCCGAGCACACAGCCAGGTCCGCTGCCACCTCCTCCAGGGGCAAGAGCTGCTCGGATCAGAGATCCTCCTGAACAAGCTCAGGGGATCCCAGGGCTTGTCTTGGGGTCCCCCCACCGCCTGGCCTTACACCCCACCTAAGCTGGTTACCCATCCCCCCTTAATCGAAAGGGTTGATTACAAGGGGATCACTTGATTACATGTTATTTATGTTACAGTATGTTATTACATGTTACTGTTATTGCTATTGTGTAACTGTCTATTGTCTTATCTTCTGTCCCATTTATATACTGCACCTGAGTGACTAATGAGAAACACTTTTCATTATACTTTGCACCTGTGTAAGTTTAATGACAATAAAGTTGAATTGAAACAAATTGCCTGATTGTCACCAGCCAACAACACAGGGAAAAATGAAGGGCAGAGGTGTTTTTAAAAGTGAGAAAACTAACGCCTCACGGCCTCAGTTTCCTCTAACCCCAGCCTGCAGCTCCATCTCGAGCCTCTGTACACACAAAAACCCAGAGCCCAGCTTTGCTGAAGATATTTATTCCTCCAAGTATTTACAGACTCATTCATACAGGCACTCCCAACGCATATACTGTCTCCTGGAACCAGAGAGGTTTAAGTGTTTAATTCATAATTTAGAAAAATTGTTTCATTCCTCAACAGGCAGTCAAGACTCTCAGTCTGTAGTCACAAAACATAATAATTAGAAATAATAATAAGCACGTAACTAATGAGATTTAAGCATGAGGTTTTCAAAGGTTGTTCTCTACTCTACGCCCACTCATTCCTAACCTGAGCACACCCAACAGCCCCCCACACTCGCCAACATCCAAACGTCTTCGAATCTCTCTGCTTTCAACTAAAAATTCCATTAAAAAAAATGTACAAGTGAAAAAAAAACAAAAACAAAATTAAATTTCACTTCCTCGACTGCCTCGAGAAGTCAGGGCGTCCCGGTGGGAACCTCACCCTGCGGGCGCGGCGCGGCGAGCGAGCGGACAAGGCCCGGACCGCCCCAGCCTGCGGCTCCGGCCCCGGCCAGGAGGGGGCGCCGTTTCTCGTGCAGAGCTGGGGTTAAGGCAGGGGGTGCTGCGCCCCGGGGGAAGGGAGGGGCTGTGCATTGTGGGCCGCCCGCCCGGGCGGGTCAGGGCGGGCGTGTGTGGTGCTGTCCGGCGCGCTGGCGGCCCCGTGAAGTCTCTCGTGTGAACCGTGTTGTGCCGTGGGCTGTGCGCTGTGCACCGGGGGGCCCGGGGGGGCCGACGGAGTGGTCTCGGGGCCGCGGTGTGCGCGGCGGGGCCAGTGCGCGCGGACGGCGTCAGTAGAAGCACACGGTGTGCAGGAAGGGCCGGCTGCTCTTCTCCTCAAACTCCTGCAGCAGCTCGTCCATCTCGTTCTCCATGTCGTCGGTGTGCTGGATCTGAGGGGAGGGCGAGAGGGCGGGGCTCGGTCACACACGCGGGTCACACACGCGGGTCACACACGCGGGTCACACACGCGGGTCACACACGCGGGTCACACACGCGGGTCACACACGCGGGCCTCGCCTCCGCCCAAAATCCGCAACACTAACCCCAACCCCATGCCAGCAAACGCCAACGGAGATTTCAGAACTGTTTGGGGAAGGATTTAGAAAACCTGGCTGGAGTTGTTTTCTCCTCTTACCCAGAAAGCCTGCACTACCGGAGTCGGTGCCACGGCAGGTACTCACACACTGGCAGAGCTCGCAGATGAGGAAGGCGCCCAGCGTGGCCTCCTCGTGGTTGTCCTGGATGTCGACATTGATCACGTGGACCGGCTGGAACGTCTCCTGCTCCCGGGAGTTCAGGTCTGACACGAGGGGACAGAGACAGACAAGATCAGAGACCGCAGGAGACAAACCTTCCGCCCCTCTCCTCCTTCTCGTCCTCCCTCAGTCTTCTTACCTTCCAGCACCTGGTCGTACACTCTCTCCTCGCAGGTGATAACCAGGTCGAACTGGTCCTTGCAGTTCTGGAACCGCTCGGGCCGGGCCTTGATGCGCTTGTTGCGGTCCAGCATGTGCAGAATGCCGTTCTGAGTGTATCTGCGGTTCGTTTGGGTCAAGGAAGCAACTGCAGTCCAACACAAACTTGACACAGACTCCCACTCTTGAGAAGCAGCAGCACACAAACATTGTCTGGCTAAAACGTTTTTCACACTCCTGTCCCCTCCCTGCACAGCGCCAACTCTACTCAAGGCAGAGCAACTCATTTCTTAATTGATCCCTCATTAACACACACTACAGCCCCTACGTTCTACCAAAACTGTACTATCAAGAAATCAAAACGCAACAACTGCATATTTACTGTACTCGCACTGCCTCAGTCTAAAATCCCCTATTTGCAAACACTGGAGAGGAAGGTCGAGGTCATTGTCCCAGACTACACGGGTATCCAAAGGGCTCTGCCACAAGGCAACTGTCCCACCAGGATGTAACATCTGCTCCAGGTTTGGGACAACTCTGCCACCCCACTGTAGGATGCAGGGATGCCCCCAGCGTTCCAGCGAGGAGCTCCTGGGAATCCCTAGCCCAACTGCCGAAAGGACAATACCAGCAGAGCAAAGCCCAGCACTCCCACTAGAGCAGTACCAGCCTGGTACCAGCCCAGCAGAGCACGGGACAGCACTCTCTGCCTGGAACCTGATCAATAAGCCAGTAAAACAGGGACGGTCTCATTCACTACATCTGCACCCGCTTCAGGCTTCTGAGGTTTAGGCGGCTGCTGGCAACAACCTTTGATGCCGCAGAAGAGAAACACACCACCAAGGAAAAAAAAACAGCTGACAAACGTGCAGCCCTGGAGAGAACCAGGCTTCAGGATTTACAGCCATCCTCAAACAGGGACTCCAAGTTCACACCGAAGTGGGTTTCTACAGTAACTGACTTTCTTAACAAAGGTGCTCCTTGACCTTAATTTGCTGCGGCAGGCACCGCTGCCCTATTACAAAGGCTGAGCGGACATTCGCCATCAGCCTCGATTCCTTCCACTACAAGCTGCCCCTGCAGGGGGGACAGAACCGTGTGCGTGTGCACCTACTCCTCTCTCAGGGAACGGCAGTCTGAACCCAGTGGGGGCGCCCGGTCTGACACCCATCAAACCACAGTGCCGCCTCCGGGGAATCTCAGACATACGCTGCTGGAAAAGTTATATTAGCTCGATAATCCATGCAGGTAACCAGTGAGAGCACCGAGGAAGACTGGAGCCAGAGGACCCAGCCCGACCCGGTGTGCACAAACAGCTGGCCAGAGACAGTGCGGTGTCCAGGAACCCGCAGTCGCCCCTGCATGACAAATGAGCCCCACTGGTGACTAGGGGCCCCACAGCCAGATGCCTGCCTCCATGTTAGGCTTACACCAGCGCTTTATCCTCAGAAGGAAAACTGGAGATCACAAAGCAATTAACCTGCCGTGTGCTGGTTTGGAGAATTCACACAACCCCACACATTGCTGACTTTTGGCCTGCAAGCTGTTTTTCTTAATTTAATTAAATAAAGGCAGAGGGTGGCAGGAAGTGCTGTGGTGTTAGCAGTGGGGCTCCCTGCGTCAAGCCCCACCCCTGAGCTCCTGCCACAGTGAAAGCCATGGGAACCACCGACAGCCATCCAGTGTGGGCACTTACAGCTGTTACTATCCAAACACTATCCTTCTAGGATAAACTGAAAGTGATAAGAATTACTCGCTGCAGTGGAAACAAATGTTTTTCACAAACATGTTGGCTGTGGCTGATGTAACAGTCATACTGTGCCCCCCGCCCAACACACACACACACACTTCAGTCCCTCAGGTCGTCATGTGCCACCCTCTCCCTCCCCTCCATGTACCAATAAACACCAAGACCACCAGGTACAGCTCTGGAAAATTTTATTCTCTGGACGTCATTTTAACATTTCAGAGCTTCAACAGTCTGAGTGTGTGTCCCCCACCCCCCCACCACCATCTACCTGTGGGCTACCGTCACACTGCGGTCAGACATGCTAGTCTTGTAGGGCCTTCATCCTTCCTGCAGCGACCATCCAACAGCCAATGAGCAGAGAGCATCTCGGGGAAAATGGGGATAAACGACTTGGCCACACCTCTTACCCTGAACACACTGCACTGTTCAGATGAGCCTGCACACCACTCATGCTAAACTGCATCTCCTCACAGCTCACATGCCTACAAAGTTAATGTAACCTAAATGTTACTCCAGTAATTCAAAGACTCTGTGTTCAGCAAGAGTAGGGGTACCAACCCCAGGGCCCTGGCTAAACTCCACGCTGGACTTGTGCAATAGGGGCTCTCTAACGCTCAGCCTGAACCCCCTTGGTGCAGCAGCTCCTCACTCCTCCCCCTGACCTGCTGTGGACTGGGATGCTGGTGCAGAATTCCAGAGGTGGATGAAGTGGCTCCCTTCCTACATGTGTTCCAGAGCCTTACTTGATAACGAACCATACTATACACATGTAAGGCACAGCTATACTTTAACAACTGCACAGTGAAAACTAAGGCCACAGGCCGATGGAACTGAACAGAAGCACAACAGCAGCGCACACCAGAAGGTATCCACAGGACACCTCCCAGCAGAGACTATATTAGGCGTGTACCACTGTCGCCATGGAAACGTGCTCCTGCTGGTGCCACCTGCACCAAATTCGCTGCTCCACAGCACCAGGATTCACAATGCAGTTGTTCATGAAGATTGCTGGCCTCTTAACCACCCCATTCACATTCCTACCAGGAGCAGCCCCAGGCACCTGCCCACTGCCGATCGTGCCCGGCAAAACCGCTCGATAAGAAAGAAGTATAAAAGTGTGTCAGTACTGGCCTTGCTCGATCCACCTTCTGTTCGGCAGCACTATCTCTCTGCAGCTTCTCAGGCTGGCTTGGTCAGGGGAAGAGATCCGCAGCAAATCCGCACATTTTCACATTCAAATACTTTAAAAAAATCTCAGAAGAGTTAACACCGATCGCACCCTGAACACTGGGATCCAGCACCGTGCACCCAAAGGCTCCAGACCCGATACAGAGCGATGCTAACACTGTGCTTGTAAATATACACACGCTCCTACAGTATGTGCTTTGAAAGCTGGACTGACGGCGTGTAGCATAAAAGTTTGATATAGCAGCTCCTACTCTAAATTGCTCTGGGCTACAGCCAGGCTGAAAACATATTTTCATCACTGGCTTTGTCTCTCAGCTTCATTCTGTCAGACCAAACGGATCATCCAGGAAACCACTACACAAAAACCTGGAAGTTTAAATACCAGAGTTCTGGAAATGCTTGAAAGTGCAAGTGTAAGTTACACCAGGGTGCCCAGTACGGGCAACTGGGGGCAGTGAAAGATACATTTGTAACAACTGGCACACTCTGGAGAAATTAAAAAAAACTCAGCTCTCTCCTGAGAATAACAAAGCTGTCACAGGACTTGCACCACAGAAAGAGGCAGGCTTGCTTCTTCCTCCTCCAAGGCAAGGTCAGGCTGAAGGCTGCAGTTTAAGGCAGTGGACAGCTGGCCACACACACCAGTCAAGAGACGAGTTAGTTTGACCCTGCTGACGACATGCTGCCTCGTTAGTAAGCCTGCTCAGTACGAGAGGACCCGCTGGTTCAGACTTCGGGTGCCTGTGCTAGGCTGAGAAGCCAATAGTGCACAGCTGCAGTCTGTGGGATCAAGACTGCCCCCCCGAGAAGAGTTCAGCCATCCCACTACATCCAAATACTCACCCCCAGCTCAGTGGACTTCCTGCCCTGTCTGTACAGCCCACCCAAAACCAGCTGGAAGAGAGCTGTCTGTGCAAAACCATCACTGGGGCATTTCACAGAGCTAAAAATTCAGGCTTGCTCATTTACACTGCACTCCCAGTCCTGCACAGAGCTAGACAAGAGATTCCTGCTCACTGTTAACTGCTGTCTCATGGGCAAACAGCAGCCAGATGGTGCCCCTTGAGAAAACGTCTGACAGCTAAGGAAAGCAGAGTGACCTGCTGATTCACTGCTCGCTGGAAGGGCAGCGACCCACGCTGAAACACTGAAGAACGGCTGGAGACCGTCAGCACCTGCTGCCAAGTTTCCATTCACAAGTCCACAGATTCAAACGGAGCTCTAATGAGCTCAGTAACATCTTATTTCATGTGTAACGTTTCATGTCCTACAGCTTGCATCTTGGAAGGCCACAAGGTCTTCTGGCTCTTTGTCCAGAGGAGGTCTGAGCGACTTTCCAAACTCAGCTGCTCAAATGGGACAAGTTGACGCTCACCGAGACGCCCAGTGGTTTTAAAGCTCCCTACAAAGCTGGTTTGACCGTCTCTCTCCAGGATGGAGCCTCTGTTCTGGTTACCTTGCACTTACAAGGGAACTCTTCCTGTATCTGGAACAGTGGCCACTGACCCCGATGTACCCAAACATAGAGGGGAAAATCCAGGGCCTCCAGTCTAACTGCAAGAATTAGCTGGGTCCATTTCAACTGTTTCCAGGTTTACAGGGGCAGAAAGAGCTCAGCTGCAGCTTGGTTTGCCTCTGTAAACACAGGAAGAAAAGAGGAAGACAAACCAAAGCGCAGGAGCAGACAGTTCCAGGCAACGTCTGTCTAGCACTGTCCCGACTCTGAGGACGCAGACTAGCGAGGGCATTTTTTTTTTTTTTTTTTTACAGGAGGCCAGCAGCTGTGAAACATGTTACTGCTCCTGGAAAGCTCCCATCATCTCCCCCACAGGGGTCCCAGCACTTGTCACACAAACACAAGACACGCAAGCAGCAGCCCTGAGACACAGGCACACACAGCCCAGGCTCAACCCCCTCCTGTACAGGCTCCCCCAGGCCAGGAGGGAGAGCTTCTGGCATCACTGCACACACTCTCCAGCAGCCCATCTCCTGTCAATATCACTACAACGAAGCTCCAACCCCCCCTCAAGCCTGGGCTCCTGCTGCAAGCGCCAGTACACTCACCACACAGAGAGGAGGATAGCAGATAGTGATGAAGCCAGCTCTCAGATGGGGATTATTAGGAGGCCATGGCTGATAAAGGCCAGGGAGAATATGGGCCGCAACACCAGGGTAACACACCCCTATTCAGTCAGGACCTCTCTTTTATGTCTCATCTGAAAGATGGCTCCTCTTTCCCCCCCCCCACAGTATAGTGTCCTCCCTCTCTGTAGTGGGATATTAGGACCCACACGGACTGTGGGGTGAGCGCCCCCTCCTGTTCCCGCTTACACCTCTTCCAGCAGCAGCCTTAGCTTAGACAGGATGTCTCCCTTTCAACTACTGGCATCCAGGTGCACACATTCAGCTTCAGTGGGTTGCCAGAAATATAGAAATGAACAAGTAATGTTTAATTCCACTCTGAAAAGTAGGAAAAAGGTTTCTGTTGTTGAGCCTTCTTCAGGTGCACTGGTTACTCAGGCTGGGATAACAAAACCCAAAGACCCCAGGCCCTACAAGAACTGAGTACAAGACCCCTGAACTACAGCGACTCGGAGGTATGCTGAGGAACTGACAGGCCAGACCGAAGGGGGACAGAGACCTACAATGTGACGGTGTCAAAAACAAACAGGCACAGGCTGTAAACGCAAATGACCTGAACCACACTGCCGTGACGACGCTGTAGGTCTGTCTGGCTCCTGAGTTGCTATATTACCTTCTATTCATACCGTCTGCCTTATCAGAGGAGCAACACGGACACAGAACCCAGGGAAAAGCTGAACGCCAGCAGCCTCTAACCAAGAGCAAAATCCCTGCAACCCTAACTTCGGTGACCCCAGGAGGGGTCATTAACTCGGTCGGGGCGACACCACGAGGCAGCGGTGGGGTCCGAGCCAGTACGCAGGACCACAATATTAACAAGCTCCTTTGTTATAACTGACCTCCCCTGCAAATCAGGATCGCAGCACTGAAAATACAATTTACTTCTTTAAGACAAAGAATCCCCCCCCTCGCTTTCCGAGGCTAATAAAAACCAGCTCGTGTGTTAGCTCACGTTAGCCGCAGGCTGGCGACCTACTTCGGCGCACATTCTCACGGACGACTGCTCAGCAGCAGGGAGCGTCGGCTCTGAAGCGCTCTGTCCGTCACGGGGGGAGGGGAGGAGGCGCTGCGCGGCAAGAGCGCACTGGCGCACCAGGAATAGCGCGCTGCAGCGGGAGGGAAGGTGGGGGGGCAGAACAGACCCCGCACAGCCACGCAGCTCCAGCAAGCGCTTGTCCGCCCACCAGCCCTGAGTCACAAGGCAGAGCCCTGCGTGCGCCACAGCACAATACCAGAAGGCCGAGCGCCCACAGGTCCACGCGCCTCTCTGTGGGCCTCGAGAAACAGCCCTGCAGGGGCCGACAGGGAGCCGAGACTCCTCAACGGGGCTGCAGATCCAGAAAAAACAGCCACTCTGACCAATTAAATCCATAACTGCATCCATTACGTCTTTCAAAGCTCAGTCTGACTCAGAAGAACACCCTGCAGCTCTCTTAGGCCACAGGAGTATTACAGCGGTACCAGCTCAGCAGCGCAGAATCAGATAACTTTTCCACGTGAAAACTGACTGACGATTTCTGATTTTGCAGCACTTCCACCATTCTGATTTTTACCATAATCACTCCTCTAGGCGTCGGGCTGAAGGGGATTGCTTACATCAAGGAAGCCATCAGCCCTTTGAGCCCACCTGCCTTCAGTGGTGCTGTGCTTCTCTCACAGAAACCCCACTGGGCCCAGTGCGAGGGGACAGACCTGTACCGACACCAGCCCAGCGTGACCTAGATCAGAGCCCTTACATAACTGCACCATGCTGAACATTAGCTACTACTCTATTCTACGGCTCAGTTACTGCTGTAGACAGGACCACACATCTTCTTGGGCAAAACAAAAACACCAGCTTACTGTCTGTAAACAGGGGCTTTTGGGTGTATGTAAACTTGGCACTTATGTTTAACAGATACAAGAGGAATGGCATGTGCTGGCTCAAAATGGATTGACACTCATTCGCATGTACAGACTACACACCCATCCACGTGACAGACCACACACACACACACACCCCTTCCCTTTCCCAGCCCAGGTCCCAGTCACTGCCCAGTCTGCCTGAGTTGTGATGTCATATGGTCACTGCTTTGGATCTGAGCTCACAGCTACAAGAGTCTGTTTCTTTCCTCCTGTTCCTCTTTAAACAGCTGAGCAGTTCCCCTGAAGCGCAGAGCCTTACCCTGCAGATACACACAATTCAGACAGCGCTACAAAACACAGGAGAGAGAAATGGAGGAGGAGGAGGGAGAGTGAGTGTGGCCTTCCTCCTCTCCAGCACAGTCACTGTGTGTCTGTGAGGGGGGTGGAGGGGGGGGATACAGTTCCTTGTCTTTGCGGACGAGGTCGTTGTACATCTGCTCGTATGTGGTCTTGAAGTCGTAGACATTGGGCTTGTCCGGTGCCGGGCCTGGCAGCTTCACGTGCGTGCCGGTCCCGAACGAGCGCACGTCGAAGCCACGCTTACTGGAACAGAGAGAGAGGAAAGGTCAGTCGGCAAAGTGCATCTCGAGAAGCCCACTCCTCTAGGACAGAGCCGCTGTCTGCAGCGCCCCCCTGGAATCACCAGCACCCCATCGGCCCGCTGCCTCAATCCCCACACGGCCCCGCGAGCTCGCATGCAGGCCCCCCGGGACATCGCGCGCCTCCGCGGTGCGACGGACATCGACGACGAACGCCAGAATCCCCGAGGAGAGCCATTCACGGTTCACAGACGAGATGACAAACAAGTGCAAGTAAACTGCGACCATGGTTCACGAGCCTTGGAGAACTGGATTCGCTCCTTTACAGAAGGGCTGAGCTCTTCCACAGGATGTCTGCACAAACCCTACAGCAGCACGACAAGGAAGGGGCTTCACAGAACACACGCCTCTATGGGACGCTGACCGACTGTGCTTTAAAAGCTGGCTGAATGTCAAACTTCAGCTCCCAACCCATAACAAACATCCTGAGTTTTAAAGGAAAAAAAAGACTAACTTCAGTAAGTCAGTCTGAAGGGAGCATTATGGAGGAGCGAAAAGATTAACGTATACATGGCTCGTTTCCGACAGTGAATCACTGCAATGCTCCAAACTGCACCACTGTTAATGAAAGCCTTTAACAGGAAGCAAGCAAAGCAGGCTGTCGTGACTGACCTAATTCCACAACAGATGCTCACTGCTGTGAGCAGCTCACTGTGGCCTGTTCCTGCTATAACCCAGCCATCGGCCCCCTGGCCTGTAGAGCTCACAGAGCTGTGCACGGCAGCTTCTCCAGTGCCAATGGGGTCACGCGGCACCCCAGAACAGAAAGGTCATACTGCTGGATCCTGGCAACACCACACCCCCAGCCCCCAACAAAGGCCCTCCGACTCAAACTGCTCAGCAACTGTGCCGACTTGCCAAACAGGAGCTCACCGTGCCATAAACCGCCAGTACACGCAGCACCAATACAGAGCGCAGGCCACCGGCTCTCCCCAGCCGGGCACTGAAGCAGACACTGACATCATAGCACCTGCAGGGGCTGAAAAACACTCAGCTAACAAACCAGCCAGAATGAAGTCAGGAATTTTCTCTCCTGTAACCCTGGCACATCAGCGATGACATCGCTGTTCTCCAACCCCAGGAGGGGGGTCGGAGGGCTGGGGAAAGCCCCCACCACACGGGAACTGAAACTGACAACGCCAGGCAGAACTAAGAAGGCCGGGGAACAAGCTGTCCAGTCATGAGACGAGAGCTGAATCAGTGAAGGGAACAGGGCATCCTGAGGGACTGGACTCCCATGGACACCAACTGCACACTCAGGGAAGACTTATTTCGCACACCTGCTGTTAAAGAGCCTTTAAACACCCACCAAGTCTCCAGTTACCTCCCACCTCCACTGAGTGCCAGGGCTGCAGGTAAACATCGTGAACACTAAATCACGCCGTCTCTGCCAGTGTAAGCATTCCTGATGTTACTTCCTGTACCATTTTCATTGTTAATGCTAAACCTGTTCTTAAATATTTACCTGAAAGCCCATTGTGACAAGCATGTTATTTCTCTTTTATCAGGTTCGTGTAACAATATTAGGGACAGCTCTTCAGAAACCTTCGACAAGACAGAGGTTTCTTCCTAAGCAGCTCCTGAAACCTGTGCACACTCAGCTCAACCTACACACCTGCTGAAACTGCCAAAGCACACGTATGTGAAAGGAGCTCAAGATAAAGAGACTTTTGGTTCCCATCAAAATCATTCTTGAAACAGAAGAGCTCCGTCTGAAGAATTTAGTCCAGAGTCTCCTGGTCCTCGTGTCACATTCTGTTTTCTACTTTAAAGGCATACTCAAACATTGCTGCAGACAAACAATATCTTTTAAGGTCTTAAAATAGGATTCTTCTCAATATCTAAGTGCTTCTTCAAAAATTACATTTCACAGTTCTGTGAAGTAAGAAGTAATGTTTGCATGGTCCCGTAATGGTCTTCTGAAGCCCATAACGCATCTATACCAACTCCTGACATCCCCCCAGGCGACTCATGGAAACCCTCCTCTGCCAGCTGTGTGATGCAACACTGCACTCCAGTCCAGTCCAGTCCACTCGTTCTCTGGGCCTCGCCTGTCCATGAACAGGACACTAAGAGAGGCTCTAGTGTGTTTCAGCAGTTCACCTCAACATTAGCCAGATTATATTTTTTGGGAGAGTTTAACAAACATCTTTAGAAGCCACCTGACAGCAATTTGGGTATTTAAACATTTCCTGCTTCCTGCACATTTCTTGAGGAAAGAACTATTCTGTGGAATGTCAGAACTGTGCAGAGAACACAGAGATATGAGAGCTAATGAAAGATTAGCTTTGAATTAAAACAGTAGCTGCACGACTGAAAGAAAAAGAAACGTTACAATAAGTGCCTCTGACATTTATAATGTTCACAAATTGTAGCTTATATTCGAAATGTCAGGTGTCTAAAACCCACCAGCCACAACAGACATTGGAGTAGCTGATCGTAAGTTACCAATTCCCCTGCATTTAAAGAGGCTTCACAGACATGTTGAGCTCAGGGGCACAGCAGAAATCTCCAAGAGCAGCACGGGGCTCCACTTGCATGGTCTCAGCCCCAGTCAGCTGACTCAAGCGCCAGCAGGCATCCAGACGAGCAGGGCAGCGCGGTCCTCCGACACCAGGAAAGGAGCAGGGCTTCCACACGCACGCTGTTCCTGTAGGACCTGGGATCAGCAGGGACGCTGCGCGCACGCAGGAGTCCCTGGGAAAACAGACCCTTCCCAGAAGGGTACCGAGCACCCCTTCACAAGTGTTAGTGTACCAGCCCAGGACAACAACTGCTCACAGGCAGGGTCAGGCCACTAACAGCACCCCTCTCTCACAGCGTGTGCCTGCTCCACTGGACACAGGGGACACCAGGCAGTCAAACCCCTGGGAGGCACGACAGAGGCAGCCAAGCACTCCTCCACAGTCAGCGTTGAACCACAGACCACAGGATGCGGGTGGGAGTTCAGATCCAAGAACAGGAAGCACCCCTTTACACGAAGGGCGGGAGGGGTTTGGAACAGTTTGCTGAAAGCAAAGGCCTCTCGAGGACTTCAAGTAAAAAAAACTGCAGGTGGGAAACATGGGGTAGTGACGCCATTTAATAAATCAGAAATGACGTCGACAGAACCCCCAGAGAAAAAGGCAGTCCAACCGTGACACAGCAGGGTGGACCAGGATACACCCCCGAGCCGGGTCTTTTCGGGGGCTGTCTGAAGCCGGGGTCCCCCAGCCCGAGCCACACAGCGGCTCCCCGGCTCTCAGCCCTGTACCGGGTCACCCCTCCGGGCGCCACGACACCAAACACCCCCGCTCACCGCTCGGTCAAGGAGCGACCCCAGGACAGCCCGAAACACGTCCAGACAGGCGCGGGGAGCGGACGGACTCGCTGCTCGCCGAAACCGACAGCACCAGCCCACCGGAACCGATCCCCGGGGCAGGCCCGGCCCGCTCCCTCTCGGGCCGGAGGAACCCCAGGCCGCAGCCGAGACTACACCCGCGCCTCACCCCGAGGGCAGGGCCCAGCCGCGGCGGAGCGAGCCGGGGCGGGGCGGGGCGGAACCTGTCGGAGCGGGTCGGAACCGGTACCTCAGGATGTTGTGCGCCTCCATGCTGCGGTTCTGGTTGCTCGAGCACACCACCGCCACGCGCAGCGGGTGACTCGGCATCGCTGTCCAGTCGAGCGACACTACCGAAGTAACTAAAAGCAAGTAACGTAAAGTAAAAAAAAAACGGAAGAACTTTAAAATAGCTAGGCTGGAGTCAGACACAACAAACAGATACGACGTGCTTCTACCGGCTAAACCAACTAACACTCGGTGTTTGAACACAGAGTTATCCTCCAGAACCCTCTTCTCCCTCAGCTCGCTCTCAAAATGGCGTCTCTACGACACGGCGGGCGGGTCTATGGCCGGAGAGCCGACCAATCCCGTGGCGAGCCGCTCTCACCCCGCCCCCTTCCCTCACGTGATAAGAGCGTGACGTCCGCAACTGCCCGGAAGCTGATTCGTCACGGAGCTCTTCCGGAATGCGGCGTTTGCTGTTGATCCCTCCAAAATCCAGTAGGGGGAGACAGCGGCTCCAGACCTCGGCCGAGTACGCAGCTGTAGTCTCCAGTTTCCTGCTGACGGCGATTCCAATACTGTACAGCGTTCAGAATCACATGTATACGAATACCCCACACTGACCATGGGCACAACACAAGAAACAGCATTTAATTGTGTTATTTGGTAGATGTTCATTTTTCTGAATTGATTTCCCTGATTTCTGGGATGTGTGTTCTGGTTCCCTGTCTTCCCGGTCCGTGAAGCTATGGGCTCAGTTCTGCTGACCCAGGGGTCCACTGGTTTGGTGGGGAAGAACCTGCTCTGAGCCTCAGCACACACGCCCAGAGCACATCCCTGTCATGGCCACGAGTTTAAAACTCCCTGCCCGGCGCTCTCCTCCGAGACTCTGTGGGGTCAGCAGCCCACGCCAACCCCACTCCCACGCCCACGCGTGTCTGCACCGGGCACAGGAGAACAGAACAGTCCAAACGACCCCATTCGACCCGTTCAGTTAGTAAGCTGTTAGTTGTGAGCAACATAGAGGTCCCAGAATCCTCCCTGTTTCCTGGAAGGAGCCAGGCTCAGCTTAAACACCACCCCTGGCTGGCTTGTTCCACACCCCCGCGCCCCTCGTGTACAGAGCGGAGTTTACTTGCAATTCTACACGAATGAGGCGTTGAAAGGGAACTGAGTGCTGGTTGTGAATCACTTTTTAAAAGAGCCGCCGGTGAAATAAGAGGAAACAGCACCAGAGTCTCTCCAGCAGCAGGGTCCCACTTTATTGACTGTGAAGGTGGAGATTCAGGTACAGAAATATAGCAGGCGCTTGCGTCACGGCCTGATCTACATGTACACTATACAATATACCATATACAATATATAGCTCTATATCTGTCTCTACAGGTATATACAGAGGTGCTGGCAGGGTTAATCACGAGTTCAGTCTGCCCTTATGGGCTGAGCTGGGAAGAGAGGAGACACAGCAGTCCTGCAGCTCACGTGCTCCTTACTTCACACGGACACACAAACACAAACACTGCCTCACTAATACGCACACAGCACTCTCAAATTCACAGACCTACAATTCCTACTACAACAGGAGCCAGCGCGTCCACAGAGCCAGTCTCTGTTGCTGCAGCAGAGCTACAGGAGCCAGGCCCCACAAAGGCAATAGAGACTATAGCAGTGATATTATCAAACTTCAAGCCCCCATGGAATACTGATTCGCACAGCCCTGATACAGGGAATTTGCTCTAGAAGCCTGTCTCTGTAGCAGTAACACAGCTCATGACCCAGACTACAGGAGCCAGGCTCTGGACAGGGGTCAACACAAGAAGCACAGAGGGGGTGGGGCATGGGGGTCTGGTCTGTTAAAGTGCTCTCTGGGCCTCACTGGACCAGCTCTCCTCACTGGACCAGCTCTCCACACTGGGCCAGCTCTCCTCACTGGGCCACACTGGACCAGTTCTCCTCACTGGGCCACACTGGGTCACGGCTTCACTGTTACCCAGCCCAGCTAATTCTGATTCTGTTTGGCAGCTTTGACAAACCAGACCCTGATGACTTCGAGCTGATTCTGTACAGCAATTCTAACTGTCTGGCTGTTCACTTATCTATTTATCAGTTTATGTCTTAGATTTATAACTGAATCTATTGATTCTATATCTACTTATCTGTCTAAATACAGTACTTTCAACTATCTACTTATGTCCATAGGTGTTTAACTACACTGTGAAATGCTACCTACCCACATCAACAATGACTCTCTCAATATTCGCTGCCAGTTTCTGTGAGACGCACAAACCTTCTGACACACTCAGACTCAGAAAGACACTCAGACACACTCAGACACACTCAGACACACTGAGACACACTAAGAAGGTCACTGTCCCTTTTCAGTCAATGGATTGAAGAGCTGCTTGTATCAGAGATGTGCACAGGACAGGGGTCCTGGGACAGCCCGGCACCAGGGGGCACAGACTCAGTTAGACTGCTCTGAACTGTTTGCAATTCTGGAAATAAGGCCTCTTGAAGACTCCCACTCAGTTAACTAGAAGAAGGGCTAGTTAATGGGGATATCAGTTTGGTTGTGACTGGAAGTCCAGCAGGACCAGGGCTGTGGAGCAGAGAGGAGACAGTCAGCACAGCCCCTCCCGGCTGTGTGGACCTGTTCTGGGTCCTCAGGTGCAGGTTTGCTTTCTCCGCCCCTGGCAGTAAGTTTCCAGGGGAATAAATCTGTTCTCTCCCTCTGCATTACTCCTGGACTCCCTCCGTCTCCCGGTGTCTCCTGCTGTCTCCTGGTGTCTCCAGTGTCTCCCGCCGTCTCCTGCTGTCTCCCAGTGTCTCCCGCCGTCTCCTGCTGTCTCCCGGTGTCTCCCGCCGTCTCCTGCCATCTCCTGCTGTCTCCCGGTGTCTCCCGCCGTCTCCTGCTGTCTCCCGCCGTCTCCCAGTGTCTCCCAGTGTCTCCCAGAGCTGTTCCAACAAGCCCTGCCCCGCTGTCCCAGGGTGAAGGAGCCGAGCAAGTGGCAGTGTCTCAGAGTGTGTGCAGGGCTGTCCGTGTGTCAGTGCGTCAGGGTGTCAGTGTGTGCAGGGCTGTCCGTGTGTCAGTGCGTCAGGGTGTCAGTGGATCAGTGCGTCTGGCTGTCAGTGTGTCAGTGTGTCAGTGCGTCAGGGTGTCAGTGTGTCAGTGCGTCAGGGTGTCAGTGTGTCAGTGCGTCAGGGTGTCAGTGCGTCAGGGTGTCAGTGCGTCAGTGTGTCAGTGTGTCAGGGTGTGTCAGTGCATCAGTGCGTCAGGGTGTGTCAGTGCGCCTGGGCGCGGGGGTGTGTGCTGGCGGGGTTCATGAGGTTCTCGGTGATGTAGGCGACCAGCAGGCAGATGATGACCAGCATCACGCAGATCGCCCCGCCCACCGCCGTCATGGCGATCACGATGTCCTGCATGCCGGACGGCAGCAGGGTGAAGTCCAGGCAGTCGGGGGGCCCGGCGGGGGGGCCCAGCGCCTGCAGGCACACGTGGTAGCGCACGCCCTCGTGCGCCTCGGTCAGCAGGTAGTCGCGGCAGCTGGCGCCCAGCCGCACGCGATCGCACTGGAACTGCGTGTAGGAGCCGTTCCAGGAGCAGCTCAGCAGGAAGCCCCCCCGCCGGCGCCCCTCGGACCCCGGGCCGCCCCACTGCACCAGCACGCTGCCGTTGCTCAGCACGTTGGCCACCAGCCCCCCGGGCCCCTGGGACCGGTAGGCACGGCACTCCCGCTCCCGGCACCGGAACCTGCGCTCGGGCTGCCGGAAGCACAGCCGGCCCCCCCCGGCCGCGCCCGGCCCCGGGGACAGTGGCAGGTGGGGAGTTTGACTGGGGCGGTACACCTGTCAAACGGTAACGCAGGTGTCCTAAGGCGAGCTCA